ATCAAGAGCCACAACGGCCTAAGCACATGTACACGTTTTTTATTATATGGGTTGAGGGTATTCACCGTCGTACGAGTAATAATGCTTGAACCCTAACAAATGGGATTTATGAAAAAAAAGAAAATTACATAACCGTTTGATAGATATTATACAATGTTGGTTATTAATGACACCTTCGTTTTTGTGGTTTGTTTGTTATTGTTGTTATATTTTTATTCGGCTATTTGTAAACAAATAGAATGACATTTTTTCATAACACATTGATACTATTTTTGTACCTTCAGCCTTATTACTGATGAGGGTATGTACACTTTGCAACGCAAATACTGAATTTTTAAATTAATATTGCCGTCAGAGTGTAGGATTGGGATCTGTATGTAGTTTTGGAAATTTGTACTTATGTGTAAGTACCATACCGTACTTTATTTGGTACAATTTGGATTTGGGTGAACAGATAGAGCTGGAACACTGAAATCTGAAATTTGCAGAATTAAGGTATGTAGGTAGTTTTGGAAATCTGTACTTTTGGATGAACCGATAGAGCTAGAATCCTGGAATTTGGAGTTAGGATCACTGTTTGAGGTTAGGATTGGGATATGAATGTAGGTTTGGAAATTTGTACTTAAAGGTTACTAAATGATACTAAATTGGATACTATTTGGATTGATGGTGAACCGATGAGGCTAGAATCATGAAATTGGGAAATATTTCTATTGGATTGTATGATGCAGATAGTAGTGGAAATTTGTACTTATGTGAACAAAATGGTACTAAATTTGATAATATTTGGTTTTAGTTGAACCGATAGATCTGAAATCCTGAAATTAGGAATTTAAATTAATGTTGGAGTGAAGGATTGGGGTATGCCTAAATTGATAGAAAATAGTAGGGGAGACTGGGGCACCTTCCACACTTTTTTTAGAGCTCTATATCTCAGTAGTTATTCAACATATATAAAAACTTTATGGCTGATTATTGTCCTCTGACACTTAACTATAAAAACTAATACCAAGAAGATATAAAAAATTAGTATTAGTTAAAAATTGTTACAGTTTTGTAAAAAAAAGTCAAATTCGCCGAATGTGCCCCAACCCGAGGTAGCTTCGGCATTTGATGGGGCACATTCGCCACCATAGTAATAGTCTGGTAATTATCATCGCCATCAGTCTGCTTGAAATTCAGATCCTCTAAAGGCTCTATTTGGTTTTTATACGCGGCACAATGTTTGAATTTTAGGGCTATATTTTCTAGCGCCGGACGTTGAAATCTGAAGGTGGCACACACCATCAGAAATAGGATTTTCGTCAATACAAGCACCTTTAGTCTTATATATGTAATTTCGAACCATATTAAAGAATTATTTTTAAAGACAAACTCAAAAACATTTTAAGGAAATAATATTGCACTATCTGTATATGGCCGAATGTGCCCCACTTCAAAATGCCGAATCTACCCCGAATGTACTTTTTATAGTTTTTTTCATTTTTTTCTATCAGTCATGTAAAAACATTATATTTTTAAATATTATAATGTGATAGACCCATTCTTAAACGGATGGTGACTGAAGATGAGAAATGGATCACATACGATAACCCTGTGCAACAGAAGAGGTATCGTGTTCCAACGCTAGGCCACACTTCGGGATCTTGGTTGGGTAGTTTTAATGTATCCGCCATACAGTCTGGACTTGGCACCAAGCGATTTTCATATTTTCCTTGCATTGCAAAATTTTTTAATGATAAAAAATCGGTATCTTGGGAGGATTGTGAAAATCGACTAGTAGAGTTTGTGTGAAGGTGTGATTTGAGTTTGAGAGAAATATTGCGATGTACAAAGTTTGGATCAAATCGAACATTCGTCTAATATTGGATTTATAAATATTGCAATTTTTGTCCCTTTGTGGGGAATGTACCAGAAGGAATTGACCGATAAGTCTCATCTCGCAAGATATATACAATTGTTTTTCAGCAAAATTTTGATAACTTTGTGCCATTTTTTGGAAGAAGTGGATCGATATTCCCAATCTTCGAACTAAAATAAAGTTTGGAAGATATAATACTATGTGCAACGTTTGGATGAAATTGCTTACCCCCTTCGACAGCTATCGTTCGCACCAGCCGGTCAAACAGATGGACATTTGTAATTCGGTCTAAAACCAATATTTCTATTTTTATACCCTACACAACTATGTTGTCAGGGTATTATAGCTTTGTGCAGCCCCAAAAGTTTGTAACGCCGCGAAATATTGTTTTTAAGTATACCGATCGTCGTACCTCGACTAGCTGAAAGATTATAATTTGTAAACACGATACAGGCCACAGTTATGGATCTTCACGAAATTTTGCATGTAAGATGGGTTCTGGCCAATGAAGACCCCTATTGTTTTTGGGAAAGATCGGCTAATATTTAGGGGATGAAATGGACCAAATACTAAACTTTTGTCGGTTTTTCTGATCGCTCCAGAGGCCGCAAAAATGGCCCGAACATCGTGAAATTTTGCATGGAGAAGGGGATCGGGCCAAAGAATAAGCTTGCCTGTTTTGATAAAGATCGGTCAATATTTAGCGGGTCAAATGGACCTTGACTTTTGTGTGAAAAATGACAAAATTTGTATTCTATAGCGTATATATTTACCCCTGAAGGACATAGACCCGAGAAGTTGATATTATACCCAAGAGCAGTGGTTGACCTTTAAATTAATACCAATTATATTTTTGTATGTGCTCGGATGTGGGAGTTACACCTAAATATTCACAGGTATCTCCGTATTCCTATATCTCCGTATTCCTACTATAGCACTGATCGCTTTCAAATGTTTCATGAGGTTCCAGTTATGGTCAAGGACAACGCGTATAATTTTCGGTGATGATCAGATAATAATGTTGGAATGAATTGGACCAAAAACTTAATTTTTTGTGTTATTTTCGAGTCGATCTATAGACCACAAATGAAAGCCGAACATCACAACACAACCCACGGTGAAGGGAATCTGGACAATAGCTGTACTGAATACGCGTAATATTCGGAAAATATGTCAGTGTGAGGAAGAGAAGCTGTTTACCTCTAATCGGGCAAGAGGGTGCAAAAATCACGAAATATTGCCCAGGCTCAGAATAAACATCCGCAGAAAATTTGAGTTCTGTGGTAGTTGTGTAGGGTATCGTATGGTCGGCCCTGTCCGACTATACTGCTCCGCTCACTGGTTGATTTTTGATTTGATTTATATGAGTCCCTTATTTTGAAAGTGGTTTAAGTCCATTTTTCTTATATTAAGATATTTATAGGTTTGGGTTTGATTTGTTTCAAAATAATGAGACATTGGTCATAGAAATCGATGAACACACGGCGTTTTTATTTGCAATTACTTAACTGTAGGTGTGTTATTTTGAATCGAGTGTATTTCTTTGCAAAAAAAAATCGCAAGCAAAATATTGAATAATATCGAAGTGCCAAAACAATCCGAAATGTACAATTTCTAAAATTGAATTATTATATGTCTTTCAAAAGAGAGCTTCTAAAGAACAAGAAAACCTGGACAAAGTAAGAGTTTAAAGCTCCTTGAAGAAGAAGCAATGCGGTAATTTTTGACGTCGGACGCTTCAAGAGGACAGGCAGGATCGGATACAAAATATCGAAATATGAATGGCAACGAGCGCAACGATCAATTTGGATTCAATGAAGGAACATGACCTAGGAGCAAGACGAATGGATATGCAAAGAGGATACACCCGCCCTCAATTAACCGAAACATAACCAAACCGGATTGCAGACTAATTGGTCTTTATACAGACCTATGGTCTCTTAGCAGCCTTTATAAAGACCTGTGCCCTCTATACAGACCAATTCGACTGTATAAATCCCTGTTTTATATACATACCAAATGGACTGTATACACACCTGTGGTTTCTATACTGACCTGTAGTCTCTCTGCTGACTTCTCTATACACTTTCAATCGACCTTTATACTGACCAATTGGTCTTTATAAGGTCCTGGGGTTTAAATACAGACATATTCATCTTTATAAATCCAAATTTAAGTGGAAGTACCTTTAAAAATCGTATTGAAAATGCTTGGGTTATAATTAAAAGGCTGGTAAGAAATTAATCAGTCTGTGAACTATTAAATTCTATCACGCAAAAATAATAGAATAAATGTCATAATTAATTGAAAGTGGGATGTGGGATGAAATGCTAAATTAAATAAAATGGTTAAAAACAATAACATTTATTTTTAAGTATCTCAGTTCCTTTTATTTTTTAATTAAAAATAAAGAATAAGCGATTTTACACATTTTTCAACACAATAAAATTATAATTTTTATGGGAGTTAGAGAGATTTGAAAATTAAATTTTAATATTTTAACATTAGACTTTAACATGTGTTCAAGGTTTTAAGATTTTATCTAATCTTAGCTAAAAACTCACCATGAAGTTGTACAAAGGTCATAACCCTACTGTTTATACGTCGGCCAAACATACTGATTCTTTCTTCGGCCATTTTTTCTTTAAACATTTATTTACATAAATCCGTAAAACTTATATAACCAAGAAGACGCAAAGTGTGTTAAAGTAACAAGATTAATTAAAAAATATAACAGCCCATAACACACCTATCATTGTCATACATCTGCAAATGTTAAATTTATAAAAACAAACGAACAACTTACCTCTTGTATAAAATGGGTGTGGTCCACTTTTTTTGCTTTTTCCTGCAATAAATTGAATTTATCAATTAATTGAAATTAAAAATAGAACACGTTTAATGCATACAACATGTTGTACTTAATAAAAATAACAAGTAAGACTCAGGTTAAAATTGTGATAAGGCCCCGGATGGGTGCTATCACCAGAAATTTCTTCAATATATAAATATGACACCGGGCTGGCAATGAACTATCAATCAGAAAGCAATTGGAAGCAAATAAAATGCATAAAGGTAATTTTAGAATAACTACATTGAATAATAAACAATTAATTTCAAAATCTTTCCAACAGTTTCTGTAGTTGTTCTTTGCGCCCTTGTGGCCTTTGTCTCCGCTGCCGAAGTACAAATGGGCCATTTCGAACCCCAAGATATTTATGCTGAACCCAATTGTGCCATTGTCAAGGATCACAGCCGCATGTTCCGTGATATTTCAGATCCCACCCACTATTGGATTTGCCCCGAGGGTCAAGCCAAGGCTTCCTATATTCAATGTCCACCAAATGAGGCCTTCATGGAAAAACCACAAAAGTGTGTCCCATGGGAAGAATGGAAGTGGGTTGAACCTTACACTAAATAAGTGATGAATAATAATTTATTAAACACGATTTGGGTTTTGAGTATTGAATAAATAAAACGATGTTAATAGAAAAAAAATTCGTTTTTTTTTTAATTTTAAAGTATTTTTTATCAAATAGCTGCAGAGGTGTAAAAAATCCCTAAAGGCGTGGATTTTTTAGTTTTAAGCATCTTCAATATTTTTCTAGCATCACTTGAGGCGTGGATTTTTTAAAGAATATTTTTTCTAGCATCACTTGAGGCGTGGATTTTTTAAAGAATATTTTTTCTAGCATCACTTGAGGCGTGGATTTTTTAAAGAATATTTTTTCTAGCATCACTTGAGGCGTGGATTTTTTAAAGAATATTTTTTCTAGCATCACGTGAGGCGTGGATTTTTTAAAGAATATTTTTTCTAGCATCACTTGAGGCGTGGATTTTTTAAAGAATATTTTTTCTAGCATCACTTGAGGCGTGGATTTTTTAAAGAATATTTTTTCTAGCATAAATAGGTTTTTTACAAAAATGTTCTTGAATCGAAGTGAAATCACGAGTCCTACGATCCTATAATAAGTTTAGGGCTTCAACTAGCTCATCCGAAAACAGGGAAATTTCGGCTTCAAAATGTCAGCATCCGGCTTAGTTGTATGCAGTGGAAATATCGAAAAATCATATATAGAACCAATATGGTGTTCTTCAATTCAGTCGTTGAACACAAGTCTGTAAATGGTGTCATAAATTAGCAAAAGAAAAAAAATTCTTGGCTTCAGCATATTTTTACCCATTTTTACAACCTCCATTCTTGATCAGTGTAAAAACATTTTTTAACCGAATCGGCTGTAGTTTGATATTTTGGGTTTACCAAAATTTATTTACCAAAAATTATTAACATTGGTCCTCGTTTCAGTGCGGCCCCTATATTACGGTCATCCTCCAATTAACAGTAATAAAGTTAATAAAGTGAAATTTGAAAATAAGTGTATGCATAGTAAAACAATATGATGATGTGATTTTTTAATCGTGGTCGTTCAAATTTGATAACGTTTAAGAATTAAATCACTCGTTTAAGAATTAAATCACTCAAATAATCAAAGTAAATAATAGAAAAATGACAAATAATTAAAGTAAGTTAAAAACCAGTCGGACGGGGCCGACCATATGATACCCTACACTACCTCCACGAAAGTCTAACTTTCTATGATTTTATGTTCTGAGCTTGGCCAATATTTCGCAATATTTGCACCCTCTTGACGGACTAGAGGTAAACAAATATTAATAATATTCAGCACAGTCTTACTTGTCCAGATTCCCTTCACCCTTTGTGTTGTGAAGTTCGGCTATCAATTGTGGCCTATAGATCGACTTCAAATTACACAAAAAATTAAGTTTTCGGTCCACATTATCCCAAAACTATTATCGGATCATCACCGAAAATTATAAGCGTTGTCCTTGACCATAACTGGGACCTCATGAAACATTTCAAAGCGAACATCGCTACATTTCCGCCATCCAGTGTGGTAATGGTGTTTACTAAATAATGTCTGAATACGTAAGCACCTGTAAATATGACTGTGTACCTCCCCCATCCGGGTACATACGACAATATAATTGGTATCGATTTAAAGGTCAACCACTCCTCTGCGATATACTATCAACATAAATATATACAAATAGAATACAAATTTTGTCATTTTTCACACAAAAGTCAGGGTCCATTTGACACGCTTAATATTGATCGATCTTTATCAAAACAGGCATGCTTATTCTTTGGCCCTATCTTCTGTAAAAATTCGCGATTCCCTGAAAAATTCGCGATGTTTGGGCCATAATTGCGGCCTCTGAAGCTACCAGAAAAATGGACAAAAATTTAGTATTTGGTCCATTTCATACCCTAAATTTAACGGATCTTTACCAAAAACAATAGGAGTCTTCATTGGCCAGAACCCATCCTACATGCAAAATTTCGTGAAGATTGGTTCATGACTGTGGCATGTATCGTGTTTACAAATTATATTGGACAGACGGACGGACACACATGTCTAGATCGACTCAGCTAGTCGAGATATGGCGATTGGTATACTTAAAGGTGGGTCTAGGACCAATATTTCGCGGTATACAAACTTTTGGGGCTGCACAAAGCTATAACACCCTGACAACATAGTTGTGTAGGGTATAATAAGTGCAATATTTAAAATGTAATGAAAGAAATTACATCTTCATTTTTATTTTTTCAATAGATCAATAAAACAGCTCTTGAAAATGTTGGAAAAAAAAACCAACGAAACGTCGAGCAAAATATATCGTTTTATAGTCATAAAAAATATCTGACCAAAAAAGCCCAACAAAAAACATAAAGATTTAATAAGGAAAAACTCTCAGTTTGTGAACGAATTTCCGTTATAAATCCTTAAAAGTCGTAGAACTATTCTATAGCTAACGATGGTGTAGGATAACGCGTGAAAAAAATATTCTTTGATTCTCAATGGGTCCCTCCCCAAGTGAAATCCTGGCTACGTCCCTGCCCTGTACCACAGTGTGGTGAAAAGCATAGACATCAAGCGGATACTTTTGACTGTGACTTACTGTATATTCCCTAGAAATGGGCCGTGTGTATTTATGGTAAATATATATAAAATTGTTAAAAAAACATGACGTCATTTGATCTCGGTAAAAATCTTACCCAACAGGTAACCAATTAAAATACACATATCAGTAAAAAAAAATTTTTAAGAGAACTGAGTAGCTGTCATAACGGAACCCAAAGGGGTAGTTCTATATGCGTGATATATATTTTTTTATTTCATATAAATAAACGTGATTTTAGTCAATAATAAGCAAAAGTTCTTTCATTTCTACCACAACAAATCATTTTTAGAGAAAAGAGACAAAAAATCATAACTGCACACTAAGTAGCCATAAGGCTTTGAGTAATATACGAGTGAAGGCTTTGAGTAATATACGAGTAAATTTATAAATATAAAGCTATCATACCAATAGGGAATATTTCCACTCCTCCAAAATGTTGGCGCACAATATTCTTTATTTTTTAATGATCATTAATTGTATAAGAATGCAGTGCGACTGCAAAGGACACCATCAATTAGGTATTTGTTTTTCTACACAACTAAATTAAGTCTACAGGGATTTAAACACAATCATCCTAAAATAAGCTAAAATAATATTTTTTTAGCGTACAAAAATCATTATAAAATTGAGTTTCCAACGATTAAGAATGTTTTGCAAAATTGCGATACTACTGATATTCGGTTGCATTTTTATTAGAGCAGCAGAATCTGACAGCAAAATCGGTCCAATTTTACAATATAATGAGCACAGTGCTTCGAAGGATACATACCACGCCAAGAATATGACAACTTTGATAAATACTATTGCCGAATTTTGGAACATATCATCAGTGTATGTAATTTATAATTCCCGGATATCGGAAAATAATTTCATTCAAGATGTTTTGAAAGAATTACATCGGAGGCATACCTATTTACATGGATTGCCGCAAATGTTGTTGCGTGAAGTGGACATAGAGAAGCCTTTCTATGAGATTGCCGATATAAATTCCAGTACTTTGGTATTGACTCTGATGAATAGTGTCTATGATCATGTGGTGGAGGCAACAGCGTATGCTATACGTAAATATAGATCCGGTTTTACAATATATCTGCTACTCACCTATACATATACGGAAGATCATATCTATTTATTTGAACAATTATGGAGATATCAGCTGCGCCGACCATTGGCAATTGTCAATGGTAAAGATCTGCTGACTATGCAGCCGTATCCGGAATTGGAATTTGTTAATGTGACGGGGTATCCTATGCGAAATTGGTTTCCTATTGTGGAAGGGGTTAAGGATTTTAAGGGTTACATTTTGCACATGCCCGTACAAACTGATATACCGGCCACATATTTTTATTTGGATAGTCGTACACGAAAATTTGCTGCCGATGGTTTGGCTGCCTGGATTGTGCGGGAGTTAATGTCACGCCTCAATGTCACCCTGGAGGTACGCCCTTTAAGTATCGACAATTCCTATATTTTTAATTATCGTCGAATTTTTGAATTGCTGCGTAGTGGAGAGATTGAGCTGAGTCCCCATTTGGTGCCGACTATTGGCCTTGACCCCGACATTGATTTTACTTACCCATATAAGACCACATCCCGCTGCATTATGAGGCCACGGCCACAAACTTCGAATATTGTATTTGTAAGTTTTATCGATTGGAAATTGTGTGTGTTTTTGGCCATATTTGTGGCTATATATGAGGTGCTGTACAAGCTCTACCCTCTATATAATACCAAGGTAGAGCGTGTTTACAGCTGGCATCAACATCGTTCATTTTATATTCTATGTATTATTTTGGGTATCCCGGTACCACATTTTAAATTTGAACCCCCCTTGGGTAGATGGCGTTGCTTTGTGTTCTTGCGGATTTTGATTATCTATTTTCTGATTGCCTTCAGCGGAAATTATATTTCACAAATCTGCTCAAGTTGCCTAACTTCGCTTTTGACGGCAAATTTACTCAACGGTCCAGCCACACATTTGCGCGATGTTTTCTCCGCCAAAGTTCCGATAATAATGCGCCACTTTGATGCCAAGGCTTTTTTGGATTATCATGAAATCGGTTCAGTGGACCTACAATATTTTATTAATTTTTCCAACCAAGATGTTCAAAAATATCGTTCCCAACTCAATCCCGCATTTATGTATTTTGCGACCAGGGAGGAATATGCCGTGATCGATGAACAACAGCGTTATTTGCAGACCAAACGTTTTCAATTTTCAAGCGTATGTCATGGCCCATATCCGCTACAATTTCAACTACGTGCCGATAGTCATTTCGGAAATTTGTTTCATTTCTTTATTCTTCGTTTGCATGAGTCGGGAATATATGATCATCATAAAAGTACGCTGTTTGAAAGGGCCCAGAAGCAGGGCATAATTAATTATGTACGTGACGAAGATGGGCAGATGCCACCGAAAACGACTATCACAGTTACAACTCTATCGGCAATGCTTTACGTATTGGGTGTGGGTTATATCAGCAGCTTTATGGCCTTTATTTACGAATTATATGGGGAAAAAGTATGGAGTCAAATCAAAAGGTTTCATGTTCTACAAAGGAGTTCGAAGGACACAGTTGAGGTTTAAGCTTTTGAAATTGTACACACCTCTATTTTACAACACATTATTTTTTATTAAATGTTTTATGAATCCAATAAATGTTAATCTCTAATAAAACTTCAATTATCTAAATAAAATCTAAAAAAAAATCCTTAAAAACTTTATTTAAAGAATCCACGCCGGAATGCTAAATTATAGCCACTATAGATTACTGAAAATACGTCGAGTCCCGCAAAAAGTCAATCGATTTGCCAACATCAACCAATTTCTTCTCTTCTTTGGCCAGAACCGGTCCTACATGCAAAATTTCGTTAAGATGGGTCCATAACTGTGACCTACATCGACTCATATAGTCAATATATGATGGGTCTACGACGAATATTTATGTTGTGTTAGACCCGTGTTTCAACCTAAATGACTATAGTTTGCTATTTTTCATTTTAAAGCTTAATTCGTATTTACCACGTATTTACCCCCACATCTACGTTCCGATCGATTTTAGGCATTTTTATACCCTCAACCATAGTATGGAGGGTACATTAATTTTGTCATTCCGTGTGTAACTCATCGAAATATTAATTTCCGACCCTATAAAGTATATATATTCTTGATCAGGGTAAAATTCTAAGACGGTCTAGTCCGTACGTCCGTCTGTTGTAATCACGCTATCTTCTGAAGGAATTGAGATAGGGTGCTGAAATTTTGCATAGGTTTGTCTTTAGTCTGCAGGCAGGTCAAGTTCGAAGATGGGATATATCAGTCCACATTTAGGCATAGCTCCCATATAACAGTACCCCCAATTTTCGGTATTATGGGGTTCTTGAGCGCGTTTTTCAACCGAATACGCTGAAATTCGGTACATTGAGTTCTTATTGGGTACTAAATGTCTCCACAAAAAATTATAAATATAGGTCCATTTTTTCTGGTAGCCCCCATATAACGGCACCTCCTGATTTTCAGTATTTTGGGGGTTTTGATTGTATTTTTACATCGAATTGGCTGTAATTTAATATTTTGAGTTCTTAGTAGGTACCAAATCTCTCCACAAAAAATTATAAATATAGGTCAATTTTTTCGGATATCCCCCATATAAGGGTACCCCCAATTTTCTGTATTTTGGGGTTCTTGAGCGCGCTTTTCAACCGAACTCGCTGAAATTTGGTACATTGGGTTCATATTGGGTACCAAATATCTCTACTAAAAATTATAAATATCGGCCCACTTTTTCTGGTAGCCCCAAATTGTTGGTTTTTTGAGGTTCTTGAGCGCGATTTTCAACCAAATTTGCTGAAATTTGGTACATTTGGTTCTTATAGGGTACCAAATATCTCTATTAAAAATTATAAATATCGGTCCACTTTTTCATTTCAAATACCTGTCAGTATACCTGTGGTGGAGGGTATCCAAAGTTCGGCCCGGCCGAACTGAACTCTTTTTCTCTTGTTATATCTCTGATTTATTCAGGTAACAAGGGAAAAGGAATTGATGAAGATCTGCGGCGAGTCCGTTACTACTTGCCGGTCAAATTAAGAACACCAATACGACTGTTTGAATTTTAGTTTTTATTTGATGAAATATTGTGCGCATAACACACATATAAAGTGTTGAGTACATATTTATAAATTATTTTTTTAATAAACTTAGACCACGTTTCGAATATAATTCGATTAAAAATACAACGAAACTAGAGATATAACCCGCTACCAGAATATACTTTATAGCCGCCAGAGTATTTAATGTGATATTCATATTGATTTTCGTAGTAACATCATTGACCTCTTCCCTTATGTAATCAATTTTACCATGTTTCTTGGCCCTTTGAAATAGCGTTTGCCTCTGGTATTTCGTAATACCAGCCTCACGTAGGCGAAGTACGAAAAGTTGTAACAACGGCAGGAAATGGTTATCGGAGGCCAATTGAAACTGCAGAGGATATGGACCATGACACACATCAGTCAGGATGAAACGTTTGGTGTGTAAATAACGTTGCTGTTCATTGATGACGTCAAATTCGGGACGGGTTATCAGATACATAAAGGAGGTATTAAGCTGCGAACGATGCTCATAAACCGTCTCATATGAAGCCTTCACAAAATGTTGCTGATCATCGGTATTAATTTTGAAATATTTCATAAAAAACTCGGCATCAAATGGCCGCATTATAATCGGTATATTGGAGGAGAGTATTTCCTGTAATTTTGGTGAGGGAGTTTTGAAATAGCTGGCGGTGAGGAATGAAGATAAATTACTGGAGAATAGCGTAGAACTATAATTCCCAGTAAATGTGATCAGGAAGTATAGCAATAAAATTCTAATGAATGGTATGGAACGTAGACGTTTCAACGTCGGTCTGGGTATTGCTGGCATCGGAACACCTAATAGAATACAAATTATATAGAAGGGACGATAAAGGTGTGGGCAATTCGAACGATTTGAACAGTATTCGAGGTAGGTATGCCATACAAATTCGTAGATGAGTAGCATAACTGTTAGAAATAAAAACAATTTCCAATTCAAGAATTTTCGAAAAGCTATGATGTGTTCTCTGACTGGAGGCATCATTATACAACGCGTGGTAGTCGTGTAGGGATAGCTAAAATCGAATTCGGGTTCATATTTAACAAATGACACTACGTGGGGGCTTATTTCCATTTCTCCACTACGCAGCAGCTGACAAATTTGATGGGAATTTATGAAATACGTATGGTTATAGTGTAAGGGATATACATTGAGGGAGACATTCAGGCGGGCCATTAGCTCATTTATAATCCAGGCAGCCAAGCCGTCAGCTATGAATTTTCCACTCCTCTCATCTTTATAAATATAGGTGGAAGGAATATCACTTTGTATTGGCATATTCATGGTATATCCTCGGAAATCCCTAATGCCATCAACTCTGGGAAACCATTCTGCCATAGGTTGTAAGGTCACATTAACAATTCTCAATATCGGATATGGATCTATGGTTAATACATTTCTAGCATTCATAATAACTAAAGATCTTCTCAGCTGGAATTTCCACAATTGTCGAAATAAATATTCGAAATATTCCACATAGGTGAGGGTATGTAGGAGATAAATCGATGGAACCGTTCTACGATTACGTGTTAGCATGGCTGTTGTTTTCAAAATATTATCATAAACCGTATGCATTAGGGTTAGCACCAAGGTTTTTGCATCCACTCCTGGAATATCATATAATGGCTTCTGAACATCTACATCTCTGAAAGTCATTCGTGGTATGCATTCCGAATAATTATTTTTCTGGTGAAGTTCATTTAAAAACTCCATGGCTAGATGATTATTTTCCAAATTGCTACCATAAATTATGACAATTGTTGTCAGATTCCAAAATGCGGAAACTTTATTAATTAGTTCTGCCATGTTCTTTGGTTGGAAAATTCCCCGTTTTTCAAATCGATTTTCTGATGATAGAATTTTGTAGAATTTATTTTCGCCGGTTGATTGTTTTGTAAAAAGGCAAAATGTTAATAAAAATATGAATATTTTTAAATTCATTACTAAATATTTATGGAACTGTACTTGTTATTTATAAGTGCTTTAGTTTTGCAATGATTGACATTTTATCCTTTCAAGTCGGATATTTGTTCGATGTACTTATTTGTCTGGATGATGATGGATAATTACAACTTCAAAAGTGTAAATAGTGAATTGATGGAACGCTTTTATACTTTGTATGGAAAAGTAAATGCCAGTTTGAAACAAATTAAAAATCCCTTGATGATTGCTAGATTCTGACAGAAGCAGGGCCGCGGAGTCAATGTACTTTTGTGTAGACTCCCATGCTTTGTGTAGACTCATGTTTCACTTACTGAAATAATTATTGGGAATGTTTCACATAGTGAAATATTACCAACATTTTAAGACAATATGTAAAAATACCCTTAGGTTCGCCCGGGTTGAATTTTGTATAACATCCTCCATAAGGTGGACAATTAAAATACCAGTAATTGTTTAGGACCTTCAAAAATGGCAGGCTATGTCATGAGACTTTTTTGGTAGGAAGAATTGATACCCAATGAGAACCAATTCGGTTAAAAACTTGCTCTTACTTGCTTAATTGTTGCAGAACGTTTGTTCCATAAGTTGCGGTTCGCCCAATTTGAAATACCATGTTCCGAGATTTTGTCTTTTACTTGATCTTCCCATTGAATTCGTGGCCTTCCCCTTCTTCGTGAACCATCACTTGGCTCGCTTTTATTTGCCTTTTGAGCTGGGCATCATCATTTCATCCATTCTCACAACATGACTTAGCCAACGTAGTCACTGCAGCTCGATACGTCTGACTATGTCGATGTCCGAGAATAGATGGTATTATGGATAATTAAATCGAATTTCGACTTATCGATTAGTCGACTTTTTGTATTAAAAAGTCTGCAAGACGCAGTCGACTTTTGATCTTTAAAGAAATCGCTAAGTCGGCTATTCAAGATCGACTTTCGATATTCTTCATAATTACTTTGTTGATTACCACAAAGCTCCAATTACCCAAAAATTGCACATTCCAGAATTTTATTTTCTCTGCTGACAACAATTCATGTAAAAAATGAAATTTTTAGTATATTTTTCATTAGTCGTTAAAAACCGAAAATCGAATTTGCACAGGTTTGACAAAATCGAAAAGTCAAATGTAAAAATCGAAAAGTCTTCTTGGTCAGTTGCAAAAATCGAAAAGACTAAAAGTCAACTTTTACGCTCGACTACGTATCCCTAGATGGAAAGGCTCATCGTTCATTCGACGGGGATATTCACCGTTGACGCAGATCGGCTCATAGATCTTTCGGCGATTTTTTTCTCTCAAAAACTCCAAGACCTGCCTCATCTACTTGAGCAAGTACCCATGCTTCAGATCCGTACAACAGCACGGCTAATATCAGCATTTTGTAGATTGTGAGCTTGATCGGGCGAGAGGTGGTCTTGTTTTTGAATTGCTTACTCAGACCATAGTAGCATCTGTTGGCCAACAATATTCTTCTCCGGATTTCAAAGCTGATGTTATTAGTTTTGTTTATGGCGGTACCGAGGTATATAAAATCGCTCACCACCTCGAAGCTGTAGTTTTCATGTTCCACAGTTGGTTCTCAAATTGTTCAAAGGTGGCTGTAACCGCTCGCAATGTTCGGCCTGTTATGGCGATGTCGAGGAAGGCGAGTAACAGGTGTTGTTTGGTGCACATAGTGCCATTTCCGTACACTTTCGCATCTCGTATGACCCTATCCCGCAGGATTTTTTCTGAGTCCTCGTTCGGTATTGAAGGGCTCCGAGAGGTGCTTTTCGATTTGAACAGCTGACCTTATGCGACTTCAAGTTATCCTGCATAACCATATTAATTTTGCAGGAATGCCAAACGCAGGCATGGCTTTAAAAACCTCTGAATACATCGGGCTGTCGAATGCGGCTTTATAGTCGACGAATGGGTGAAATGTGTCGATGTGTTTTTCGTGGGTCTTTTCCAGCATTTGGCGCAGTGTGAAAATCTGTAGTGGATTTACCAAGTCCAATAATAGGATTGATAGTTGGGTTCAGTTGTTCTCCTTTTTTGAGCAGAATGCTGAGGTTACAATCATTGAGCATGCATTTCTCTAGACAAATTGTACTAACCAGTTGGTGCATGCTCCTAATCAAAGTCTAACCACCCGTCTTGAATAGCTCGGCTGGTAATCCATCGGTACCTGCTGCTATATTATTCTTCTATTCTGACCCCCTCTTGACTAGGCGGTATGTAATCTATACCGTCATCTCTAATTGGTTCTGGGATATATTCTTCACCGTTACTATTTGATACCTAATGCTTTACAAAATGCTCCTTCCAGAACCTCAACCAAGTTCCCTTCTTCATCCCTGCAGGAGGATGTGCCTGCACCAAAGCCTTCGGTTTGGTGTTTTACTCATTGGTAAAATTTCCGGACTTCATTCTGACTCCTGTACATCTCGATTTGCTCACGCTTTTCTTTTTTTCTTTTGAAAATACTTTTCTCCTAGCTTCTTTTTCTCCCGATAATTCTCTCTATTGCGTGTTGCTACTGTTTCCTGTGTTGCCTTATACGCTGCGTTTTCATCTCAGTAGTATTACGACACTCCTAATACCATGGGTTTCTTGGTGGTGGTCTTTGGTACCCAATTATTGCTATGCCATTGTGCTTCTATATTATTATCGGGACAAGGAGTGCTTTCATCAAGCAAGTGGGTAAGTTGAGCGTAGTAGGCTTCTGCTACCTGTTGTGTTTGCAGCTGTTCGACGTCGAGCTTCGGTGTTGTGTTAGATCGCACCTTTGTTGCGACATTAAGTTCGAATCTTGGCTGCTACAAGGTAGTGGCCCGAATCTATCTTCGCCCCTCGAATCGATCAAACGTCTAAAACACTTAACGAAAGCCTTCCGTCTATCACAACATGAACAATTTGAATTATCGTTGCTCGATCAGGAGAAATCCAGCTGGCCTTGTGTATATGGAGATGCTTGAATCTGGTGCTGCCAATTACCAGTTTTTTTTTATTTTTTTGCCGCGAAGTCAATCAACCTCATGCATTCTCCTATTAACCATAAATCCGCAGCCAAATTCACGTCTCTTTTTCATGACAGCTATAATACAGTGCGTAATCATCTGATTTACTTACGCCAGTCCATTTTCATCGCATTTCCTGTAAGGGAATATTATCGGCTTTGTACTTCTTGAATACATCCGCCAAGGCGAAAACTGTGCCTATTCTGTACAAGGTACGCACATTCCAAGAGCAGTATCGCAGATCGTGGTTCTTTATACGTTTGCGGGGGTCAACATTGGGGGGTTTGGTTTTCTTTTTCGTTGCTTTTTCATAGTAGGAGGGGTTTTTCGAGTGAGGGCAACTAACCCAATTGGCATTAATTTTTCATCATTCTCGAAAACTACATTCATTTTGGCCCCTGCAATGCTGGCGCTAGATTTTTTTTTTTTTTGTATATTTACCATAGGGTGGAGGGTGGCCACTATTTATATCCAACATGTAAGTGTCATCAATTACATATTTACTCTCTCAAAGTTGTAATTAAATAAATCCAGCAGAGATTTAAAATAACAACCGAACTGAATCGTTCTACTTGTGGTCATCCGAATATTGTTACTCGTCATTACAATTTATTTCAAATTGAAAGTTTGGGTTAAAAAGAAATATTTTCTGACACTTGTTTCATCATGAATTGGAATATTCTTCTAATATTGACAACAATTTGCCTCTGCACCGAACAATTGCCCAACGCCAGCAAATTCAGTAGAACTCTACAATCTCAAAAAGGAATCGCTGAAAGAAATGTATATCAACCTGAAGAGGTTGCTAAGCGGATTAACGAACTTGGTGAATTTTGGAATATGACTTCGTTATTTATTATCTACAAATGGAAATTGCAACATAGTCATTTGGCCCGGGGAATTCTACGTGAATTATATGAGAAGAAAGGTTATTTCCAACATTTCCCCAAACTCACCATGCAGGATGTGGATGTAAAAACTCCCCTATACAATATGACCGATATAAAACGTAATGCTTTGGTCTTGACGTTAATGCATAGCGTGTATGATCGGGTTTTGGAGTCCACAGCAATGGCGACACGTCATCGTAGGACCTGCTTTACAATTTATCTCCTGCATACCTTTACCTCACCCGATGATCATCGTTTTTTATTTGAGCAGCTGTGGAAATATCAGCTGAGGCGACCTTTGGTAATAGCAAATGGTCGTGATATACTGACAATGGATCCATATCCCACACTGAGAATTATAAATGTCACTTCGGAACCTTTGTCTATGTGGTTTCCCATTGTGGATGGTATTCGAGATTTCAAAGGCTATACCGTAAATATGCCCGTACAAAGTGATTACCCTTCGACGATATTTTATTTCGATGAAGTGAAACAAAAATATGTATCCGATGGTTTGGCTGCATGGATTGTAGCGGAGTTAATGTACCGGCTAAATGTCACGCTAAATATTTACCCCCTAGAAATCAACAATTCATTTGCATTGGATTCACGTCAAATCTATCTACTTATACGCAGTGGAGAATCTGAAATATCGCCTCATATTCTGTCGATTGTCAACTATAGACCGGGTGTGGACTATAGCTACCCCTTTATTTCCACCTCACGTTGCATAATGATACCAAAACCGGAAAAGCAGCAAATAACCTTTTTGGATTTTATAAATTGGAAGGTGTGTCTGACCTTGGTGGTCTTTGTTGTGATTTATGAACTAATATGGAGCCTTTACTCCGCTTATAGTTCGCATCGGAAACATCCGCAAATGGGTTGGCAGCGTTATCGTCCTTTCTACATTATTTGCATTCTCTTGAGTATTCCAGTACCCAACGTACCCCTCCAGCCCTTGAGCGGAATACGTCTTTCGAGATTTCTACGCATCTTCGTGTTATATACCGCCATTGCCTTTACGGGTATTTATATCTCTCAATTATTTTCGAGCAATTTAAGTTCCTATCTCATGGCAAATTATTTCAAAGGACCTCCGAATCGCCTGAAGGATATACTCGCCGAAAACATACCTATCCTCATGATATCATTCGATGCAAAATTTTTTACGAAATTTTTCAATATTAAAATTGCCGAAACGCATCAATTGATCGGCACCTCCTACGAGAATGTCTATGACCATTTGTCCCATTTAAATAATTCGTTTATGTATTTAATTGCCCAGGAGGAATTTGTGGCCATTGATGAGCAGCAACGTTATTTGGATCCCAAACGTTTTAGCCTTTCGACGGTTTGTCATGGACCTTATCCATTCCAATTGCTATTTCGTGCCGATAGCCATTTTTTGGAGATATTCCATTTGTTTATTTTAAGTATACGTGAGAGTGGTCTTTATCAGCATTATCGGCAAAATCTTTTTCACCGCATTAAGGATCATTTGAAAATTGATTATGTGCGGGATTTGAATAACCACAATATGACAAATCTCACCGTAAATACATTATCTGCTATGGTGATTGTCCTATCCATTGGCTATAGCCTTAGTATATTTGTATTTATTTTGGAATTAAATTTTGAAAATTTGAGGCGTTTATTTAAAAAATAGGAAGTGATATGGAACTCTTCGTAATTAAATGAAATAATTTAATATATGTATTTTCAATAAGTAGATGTGTCACCTGGTTTTATAATTTATCGCACTCAATAAATTTAATAATTAACTAATATTGTACATTTATTACTAAATAAAAAACAGTAATCACAGATTTATAGTCGAATTGAGTAGGTCCTGTGAGCTTAGGTAACATTTTACGGCAATTCTCCCACATTCCGGCCCAGTTTTTTCTCAAATAGAAAATTTTGTTTTCAGTTTCAGCACATAGTACCTGAGCTCGTGGATATTGGATGTGGAGTTCCTCAAAGTTGGGTGGCGTATGGGATGATAGATACCAAGCAACTGCCCTGATTGGCTTAAACATGGCGAAGCCCAGGCTTATCTTGGTCCCTCTTTCATATTAATTGTGGACACTGACCTCACCGTGGTACCACCTGGGGTATCTATTTTCATCACCCGATGAAATAGTGAGCTAATATGTGCTGCGAGTTCACCCATAAGAACTATAAAAAAATGGGTTGAGGTTTCGGGTTAGTTGCCCACACTCGAAAAACCGAACCTACTATGAAAAACCAAAGAAAAAGAAAACCAAACCCCCTAATGTTGACGACCCCTGCAAACGTATAAAGGACCACGTTCTGCGAATTTGCACTAGGAATGTGCGCACGTTATACAGAACAGGCGCAGTTTTCGCTTTGGCGGATGTACTCAAGAAGGTCAAAGCCGATATTATTGCTTTACAGGAAATGCGATGGAAAGGGACTGGCGTAAGTAAATCAGATGACCACGCCCTTTTTATAGCTGCCATGCCAGTAGAGAAGCGAATTGCTATAATCCCTATAAAAGCAAAGTTCTTCTACATCAGTCTTATTTGCGCCCATGCTCCGACCGAAGACAAAGATGAACAGACCAAAGACATATTCTACGAGCGCCTAGAAACAGCATAAAATTCTGCTAGGAGATTTTAATGTACAAAAATCGGAAGGAAAAAAATTCCGTCGGAAAATTCAGTCTTAATGAAGAAACATCCGACAACGGCATGAGGTTGATTGACTTCGCGGCAGAAAAAAAACATAGTAGTTACCAACATCAGATGCAAGCATTTCGATATTCACAACACCACCTGGATTTAACCTTGATTACCCACTTGCTTGACGAATACACTCCTTGTCCCGATAATAATGGCATATAATTGCCCACTACCTACAAACTGCAGCAAAAGCAACACTTGGGTACCAAAGACCACCATCAAGATCGATCAAGAGTGTCATAATTCTACTGATGTGAAAAAGGCAGAATATAGAGCAACCCTGCAGATAGTAGCAACACGTAACCCATGGTACGAAGAAAGAACAAGAAAAACGTGAGGGTTAGTAAATCCAGATGTACAGGAGTCAGAATGAAGTCCGGAAATTTTACCAACGAGTAAAACACCAAACCGAAGTCTTTGGTGCAGGCACATCCTCCTGTAGAGATGAAGAAGGACATCTGGTGACAGAAGTTGACGATCTGGAAGGAGCATTTAGAAAAGCTTCTGGTATCAAGTAGTGTCGGTGAAGAAGATACCGCAGAATCAATAAGGTGTATACCACCTAACCAAAATGAGGTCAGAGTACCAATTAATCGGTTGAAGAATAATAAAGCAGCAGTTGCCGATGGATTACCAACCGTACTATTGAAGACCGGTGGTCAGACGCTGATCAGGTGCATGCATCAACTGATTCGTACAATTTGGCTTTACACAAAAAAGGAAACAAGACGATATGTGCCAACTATAGAGGAATAAGTATCCTTCTCATCGCATATAAAGTGCTATTCAGCGTACTGCAGGAATGACTGGAGCCAATGGTCAATGACATTATTGGACCATGCACATGCGTCTTCAGACCTGGCAAATCCACCATTGACCAGATTTCCCCTCTGCGCCAGATCCCACGAAAACACATCGACACATACCACCTATTCGTCAACTACAAAACCGCATTCGACAGCCCTATCCGCCCTATGGCCGCGTTTAAGGCCATGTCTGCGTTCGACATTCCTGCAAAATTAATACGGCTATGAAGGATAACTTTAATTGGCACAAGGTCATCAGTTAAAGTCGGAAAATGGACCTCTCGGACCCCTTCAATACCGAACGAGGATTCAGATAATGTGAGAGTTTATCGTGTGACCTGTTTAACATCCTGCTGGAAAAAGTTATACGAGATGCAAATGTGAACAGAAATTGAGAAGGAGTCTGCCAAAGAGGACCAGACAGTAAATGGCGAGAAAACCAAGCTGATGGTATCAACGCGCAAGACGTCCAGTAAAATCGGACCAACTGTGGAACTTGAAAACTATAGCTTCGAGGTAGTCAAATATTTTATATAACTTGGTACCGCCACATATAAAAGTTATGACATCAGTTTTGAAATTTGGAGAAGCATAGTGGAGAAGCGTAGTGTTGCTACCATGGTCTAAGTAAGCAGTTTAGAAACAAGACCACCTTCCTTTAGGCCAAACTCCCACTCTACAAGACGCTGATACTACCCGTGCTGTTATATGGATCTGAAGCATGGGTACTTACGCAAGCTGATGAGGCAGCTCTTGGAGTGTTTCTCTGCGTTGATGGTGAATATCGCTGTCGAATAAACCATGAGTTGTGCATTATATTCTCGGACATCGACATTGTCAGATGTATTGAGCTGCAGCGACTAAGTTGGTTAGGTCATGTTGTGAGAATAGATGAGCATGCCCCAACACAATAGGCTTATAAAAGCGAGCCAACTGATGGTTCACGCAGAAAAAGAAAATGGTCTTTCAAATTGGAAGAGCCACACACAAGACCGACGCGACTGGAAATCTTTCTTAAGGGAACCCCACCCATTCTCGATTTTAATTTTTCAAGATTTTCAAAGGGCTGGTAAATCAATACCAATGCTTGTTAAGGTTTGTAACTTTGCACATATATATTTGAAGATTTAAAAGAGAAGAAAAATAATTTACAAAAAATTTTTGTTATTGCTTTGTTGTTGTTTTTTGTAATTAAAGAAAAGTCCTTATTTTTGATGGCGGGCATGATAACTCCTCACTGGAACATCGGAATCTGAAAATGCCAGCGGTGTTAGAAAGAGTACATGTCTGGCTCTCGTATGAACTAGGATTATTGACTTCGTTCTAAAATTAAAAAAATGGCGGACCTTTGAAAAAATATTTTTGGAAAATCGCCGATTTTTGACCAAAAACCAAGTTAAAAAATAAGGAAGATCTTCACCGATTGGCTTTATCCTAGTTCATACGATAGCTATACACTCACAGAGAAACGTGTAAAAATTTGGAATCGATTGGGTTATTAGGTTTTGAGTTATCGTGCCCGCCATTCGAAAAAAAATGTTTAGAGAAAAACGCGTTTAAAGTTTGAGAAGCCCTTTAGCCGTCACTTGATGCTGACACAATAAATCGGCTATATCTTCAAAAGTTCTTGAGATTTTCACTTGAAATTTTGTAGAGACATTCTTGAATTAGTGTAGAATCGAATTAAGTCAAAAACAATTTTGACCCCGAGAATGGGGTGGGTCCCCTTAAGCTTTTTTGTTCTGGCACAAGCCAGCTAAGTCAGTAAGTAATAGCAGTAACAAGACTGAAGCAGATTATGTCGTATAATAAGAAAGTTTTTTGTGGCTGTTGGAAGCCTTTGATACTATCAAATTGAGAAGACCACCCTGCAACCATGTTTGAAAACATAGGTATTTGACTACATGTGTGCCACCAGCCATATTCAGAAACAATATATCGGAATCCCGTCAAAATAAACACTTCTTCAGAGAGGTTGTGTGATAAATTCAGACGATCAGATACCATTTGCAATGACATATACGAAATGCTGAACCGCTTTATATCAAACTGGACAAAAATCATAGCTGAAATAAATCATCCATTGAATATCTTGTTCGATGTTTCTCAAATTCCAAACACAATATTAGTCCTACGTATGTAGATGTTAGCCTAATCGGAAATTAGTTTCGCATTTCTTAAAATTTTCAAGAATATAAAATATTAACACTTTTTGATGTATGGACCGGATTTTCCCTACCCTTAATCTCAGATTAACAATCTATTAAATAGTTGAGAATTTGTGTATGAGTGAGCAGAAGAATCGATAAGCTCAATCTTCAAGACCCTGTTGTCAATGGCAATACATTACACTCGCATGTTGGAATCGACCAGATACAATGCCATGGGCGATTTTATGGTTATCTATAGATGGAACTACATATATATACCAAATCTAGAAAGGTCCATACATAAAATGATAAATGGCCTATGTTTTGGGATAGCCCCCTTATAACGTTACTCCCCTATACTCCGTATTGTTTACGCTTGAGCACATTTTGGAACTAATCAGCCTAATTTTGGTATTTTGGGTTTTCACTGGGTAGAAAATCTTCCAACTAAAAAAATGTATGCACTCTTTAGAGTAGCCATATCACGCTAAAGAAAATGTTAACAATATTGGGCCCATGTTTCCGGTTTTTTTTTTCACGGTTTTTACTTTCTCATAGGGAGTCAAATTTTCCTGGCAAAAATAATCAATATCGGTTTACCTTTGATATTGTCCTGACATATAAGTTCGCACCCCATTTCGGTATTATAAAATATTATAACCGAATTTTCTCATCGAAGTGGCTATAATTTAGCATATCGGAATAAAATAAGACTTCTTTCCACAAATTATTCAATACAGGTTTCAAAATAACCCCAATAAAAATGTCCCGTTTAATTCGGTATGTTGAAGTTCCTACTTCATTTTTCAAACCTGAGTGTCTGTAATTTAGAACATTATTTTTTTTTAGAGCATGAAGAACCTACTACCACATCATCCTGCAATAACATAGTTCTCATATAAAGGTCCCAACCGACTTTACGAGTTTTTGAATGTACAAAAGTTCAGCCTGGTATAGATTTTTCTAGTAATATGGTGTTAATTAGATATAGTACAACCGTTAAGGTCCTTGAACGATTCGGAGAATTACCAATTTACTTGGTAACCGATGATTCATCATTTCTCTGCATATGTATGTTTAAGTGCTATCATTGTGACCAATATGATCTTTATCATTATCTTCTCTTTCGTGTGGAAAATTTACTGCACTGATAAACGAAACAAAAAAACGCATCACAAACGGCAGATACCACCGACATGATGTTAGACGCCTATCAGTAATTTAATTGTAACATCAAATAAAATGTTCTTAATTAATTAACAAATAATAGAAATGGTAAAAAGAAATCAGTTCATTTATCTTTGTTTAAAAATAGAAAGTAAAAAAAGGTGTGTCCCTGGTATAAAAGCCCACCATATATTTGCAAGTGAATGTGAATCTCAATTTAGAAAACAATTCTAAACTCAACGGTCTTAATAATGAAATTCTGTAAGCAAAAAATATTTTTGATTTGTAAAAAAATAATATTTTAATATTTTTGTAATTATTGTAGTAATCTGTTTGGCTTTGTTCGCCTCTGTGGCCGTTGTTGCCGTCAACGCCATTGCTGGGCAATCGGCCTGCCGTGACCCCTCAGAAGTTGGCCAAACCTATCCCCATCATTGGGATCCATCAAAATATTGGTTCTGTGAAAAATTGAATGAAAACGCTGTGGAAAAGGATTGCCCCAAGGATACCGCTTATATGCATTTGTTGAAGGCCTGCATTCCATGGCCCAATTGGGTATGGAAGAAACCCGAAAATCCACCAACATTAGCTTAAGCTATATATATTAAAAAAATTTAATTTGTGTAATTGATTTGAGTAAAAAAATTGATATGTTGTGAATTTAAATATTTATACAATTTATTTGAAATACGTGTGTTGATCATTACATTTCCACGCCTCATCTGAGGCTACTTAAAAATATTCTTTAAAAAATCCACGCCTCTTGTGAGGCTACTTGAAGAAATATTCTTTAAACCAGTAA